CCCAAATTGGGGATACCAATAGACATAAACCTGGAGATGAGGCCCAAGTAACTTAAGTGTTACTTTCATAAAACTGCGAAATCCAAAGTATTGCTTCATGTTGTGGGATGCATTTTGTAGTCCAAGTATCACGAATAGCACTGAGATGCAGGAGCACGCTATGGTTTTAGTCATTTAAACTAATGATTAAAAACTACACCCATACATTAAAATGGATTATCGGTTTGTGACTGGCTTGAAAACCATGTGCTTAATCAGTGTAGCTACACACCTGTTACACTTACTAATCATATATCACTGATCACCAAAGCTGCAGTATGAACACTTAGGGAAGAAAATTGTAAAAGAACGAAATCCGTCAGTTCCCAATGAATAAAGGTTCAGACAATCTGATTTTTCCTCGGGATTTGGTTTAAGACACTTACATAGAAAATGGAACGGGATGGGGGTGAATCTATAATCCACAGCCGGGAACCTCAGGGAAAACTGGTATTTTTTGCACGGATGTTTCAATCTTCCTTCAGTGTATGTACCGAACATGAAGATAAAATATCTTTCAGATTGTCAGATGTTAAGTGAAGGCCAACTGAAGACACTGGGCAGCTTTTTCGTCTTTGATGGACTTCAGTATTGTTGTTTGAAGACCAGAGTACCCAGTTACTGAAAATAAATGACACACTGAAGAAACACATTTTTTCCTGTGTCCAAATATGCCTGAGAATAGAATGAGAACATAATTGGTCAAATATATTTCATTGTTAAATGGTTCTGTGACTCTGAGATCAACATTTGATGAGGATATTACGATAATGACCGGTGCAAGATGAGCAAGCTTATGAAAGATTTCTAATGAACATATTGGCCAGAGGTTTATGCACGTCAACTCACACACGACTGTGTTTTCTCTTATTTGGAATCTTGTGATAGCGTTTTGAGTAAAAGCGTCACCATCGCATGGAATGCAAACATATTAGAATTGGTATGTTGCTAATGTCACGAGCGTGAAAATCTGTTTGCAATCAGTCACTATAGCAACAGGGTTGCACAAAATCAACTAGTGAGCTGTTACAGAATATTAATCTTGAAGTAGTTCGTTCGATTGTTCAGAGGCATCAGGCACTCTTGATGGTCTTGTGTATGGGTTTCAATCCTTGGGAGATCGTTAATTCTCCACTAGTTGGATGCATTTCAATGCGATGAAAGTGTTTGTGATAATCTTCATAGAGCATCGGACAGCTGTTTTGTCCTGTTTGTGACTCTTCCGCAGTGCGTACTAATTATGTGCGCGTCAGGACTCGAACCGCGAACATTCGGGTAAGAACTTCACACCGTTACCCCTGAGCTACAGGGCAAACGGTCACCACCTTGTGTGAATGGCTTAATCAATTTTAGAGTATCAAGCTTGGAATAGCCCATTCGATTGTTCAGAAGCAACAGGCACTCTTGATGGTCGCTTGATGGTACGCACTGCTGATGAGTCCTAAACAGGAAGAAACAGCTGTCTATTGCTATTCGTCGGCTATCACAAAAATTTCCATCACATTTAACGAGTTATTATTTTACAGAGTTTTGACCACGCAAGCATGTTTTAATTTTGCTCATTTTAAAATCCACGCTATCCCTATCGGATAAATTTTGAGTGGGTGCAAAGTCGCAATAATTAAAAATATAAATGCAATGGAACTCCAAGAGCGTCAATGTTTCTAGAAGCAAATTATTTAATGATGCCTACGTTAAAAACCACTAATTTATAACTCCCGTGACCATTATTTAATTAAATTATAATCTTCAGCTCGCAATAAGTAAAACCCCCGTCATCATTTCTAAAGTGAAAAACTTACAATCACATATATAGTCAGCCAATCGTGCCCCACTTGTTAAACCACATTAGAATGATGTTATATAATATCCATACATGCAATAGTTCATTTTGTATAATCACGTTAACATAAGTATGTACTACTTATCTTTTCCTCATTTGTAAGAGCTGCATCACGGACGGTTTCTTTTAAGTTGTCCTGTCGAGTTACATCATTACGGTCTTTTATGCCCTGTTGAACAGGAAATTCAGCTGATTTGTTGAAAGTCATTCTAGATTATAAAATCGAGTAGTAAATAAACCAGTCCCCATTCAGATAAGCATCAAGTTAGCAGGAAGCAAACGTACATCGGTACCCGTAAGAAACTTTATATTATAAATGTAGATAAAGTCAAGGCTAGCAACAACTGCAAACTTTAAACAGTAATAGTTTCAACCCATCGATTGACAGCTTGATGTCCTGATGGTTTCGGCTTGTACAACAGAGATAAACAATACTGCCTCTGGTTTGAGTGTCCTCAAAAAAGCAAGGCACCACGCTGCTGAACTGTTCCTGATTGAATTAAAAGTTTCAAAACAATGCTTACCTTTTCTCAAAGTTTGTCAAAACAATTGCGATAGATGGACAGATCGAGTTGGGTCAACTGTGGATAACGCGAGGAGCACGTGATGAGAGTTTACTCATCCAACGAAAGGACCAAAAGATATTATTCTCGTACTATTTTTTTCACGAATTCAGTTGGACTCAGTCACCAAGTGCTTCGCAAGTCCGATAAACGTTGCAGAATGATTTAATCTGAGGAGTCATTGTGACAATCACAACTCCCAACGATATTTTATGAACTCCTTCATGATTATGTCCTTTCTTCCTTCCTGATTCTCATGCTCTACCTGATTTTGGTTGTCATTCAACACCACACTACACCTCCGTTTGTTTCTTATGCTAATTTATGTTATCCAGTCCTGCCACACTTAACCACCCTAACTTGAATATCCACGTTCTTACATAAAAAAAAACATAGCCAGGATATTCAACGTGATTTGTTCAGGGGCTTACAGCACCGATTATGTTAGAGCCGATCTAAACTTTATAGAAAAGGGGTTCGGATCTCCTAAAGCGTACTACGTTATCGAATATTTTCACATCCTCTGATTATTGGTGGCTTCGATAATCACTAGTTTAAGAACGATCATGATGTTAACCCCCTAAAGGATCTGAATCGGGAAATGGGGCAATGGCAATACGGTTGTTTGAAGCCAGTTTTTATTTACTACTTGTGAATGTCATTCGTTAACTTTAATTCACCCGTTTTACTCTGTTTGGTTGGAGGGTTTAGGTAAAACTATATGATTTCAGCGATAAAGATTATAAAATTCAGTGTCGCTACTCAGAAGAGTGCATTTTTGAAAACATTCCAATTTTTAAACTTGTATTTTCTTACAAACTTGCATGACTATCATAAAATTTATGGCTTATTTTGGCAGTCCTCGTTACGTTATTTCTATTGCAGTTGGTTTAATAGAGATATCTCATTCCGTTCCGGATATATGGTTAGTACTTGAAGATGCTTCTGTGGTTGTATCACTGAGATGGAATATGAGAATGTGAAAAAGTCGAACAAACTGGATGTGAATGTGGTCAACACTGATGCATATATCGATTGAGTATGATCGATTGGTGTCCACTTGAGGTGTAGCGTATGAATTCTATTGCAGCATCATTATACGAAGGTAAGCAATGACTCAAGCTTTGATCGTGCGTGATTCATTGATAGGAGCGAAGAAGGATGAACACACACTCACATAGGAGCGTAAGCTTGCAATATAAACAAACAAAATGTATGTCATGGGAATTGGGGCGTGTGTGACCGAGGCACGTCTCACAATAGCTCCCCCACACTTCAAAGGGGAGGTGAAGAAATCTGTGATGCATGGTGTTCATTCTTATATCGTGGGAGGCTTGTCAGCGCCGATGAGGTCAACGAGACAGTTTGAAATGATAGTGAAACGGCTTGTAATAATGCTCAGACATCTTGAAACGAATCTCAGTTACATTGAAATGATTGTGAGACATCGTTAAATGATACTCGGACAAGTTATTTAAAAAAAAATTGTGGTCACGCTAATCGAGCTCAAGATTCAGTTGCTACAACAGTGCGGTAAACTGCGGAATGCGAGTGCGTTTCAGGGTGAGAATAACACACATCGATCAGCAAGAATGGTATACTTCAGTTGTACTTCACCGGGTAATAGGCGCATCACGTTATTCTCTTCTGTCCTTTTGATGCTGTTTTCCCATCTGGAGTTGGGCAAGAGAAGCGGAATCCATGATAGGTACATCTAAATTCAAACGTGATGCTCGAAGACACTATACAAGATTAACATTTCAAGGATTTGGAGATTTTTTGTCATCAATGTGTATTCATCAGACAAAGTCATTTTATTACTCACTGCGTAAAACCTTTGAAATAAATGTGCAACTGTTTCCTCATTTGTAGGAATGAATGGCAGTTTACATCAACTAAATTCATTTGGATTCAAATCCTAGATCTAGGGGTGCTTAAACCAACGCATTAAACACCGGTCTTCAGTAGCCGGCTGCACCATATAGTTTACCGTTTCTTCGTCACTTATTGATAAATCTAACAATATGGCATTTATCTTAACTTCTATTCAATGCTTATATCAGACACAAGAGATTGGTCAACCTCATGACTAGCAGGATCAAATTAATATTTCAAAAGGGATATTTTATTATTCAAATCCAAATAACCCATAACAGGTCAATTTGCTGCGAACGCACGCCCCCTGAAAGCCGTCATGCATTTATATATCCGATTCTAGCAGAATAATTATTTGGTCACCAAATAATTCAGTTATAAAATGAGTCTGATGAGATTTATTTACAATTTTGCTGTCCTATAGGAGGGCTTATCTCCAACCATGACCAATTAGTCTTTTCAATAACTGCATTCTGGACTACATGTATTGCAGATCAGTAAAAATCTGATTTCTACTGGAAAGCGTTTAATACTGAAAGAGTCTGATTTCGCATTCGTCAATAGAATATTTATTAAGTGTGCAATTTTCTCTAGTTTTGGGAATTTTTTTTCAACTGATAACTGTCGAAGAAGTGACTCAATTAATGCTCCTACTGCTCTATATTTCTAGACTACCAGATATGCGATCGAATGTTGTGCACCTCAAGTTAAAGGCCAAAAATGAAACCGATTTCATCACCTCGGAATTGCATGAGCCACAAGATCTTACGGGACCCAAATTGGGTTTGGCTGCAGTCATGTTCCTATATGTTGCACTGGCATGCACCATTCCACTGATTTTTTTTCACTTAATGCAAGATCGAGCCCCGCGACGCAAATCCTCTGGCTTTACGGAATCAAGCGAATCCTGTGAACCACAGCTGCAGGTAAGGGAGACGCAAACATTATCACGGTCATTTTGTGCCCGATGCTGCAAATGGACTCCTGAATTGAGAGAGATATTCATTGGACGTTCCAACTGTCTGGCGGCAGGGGCCCTGCTTTGTGTGGGTGAGTAGTGATCAGACTTGAGTATTCTGTTTGCTTTGAAGATACTCAGCAGGAGACTAGTTGTACATCTTTAACTGAAGAAAAGGGAAACTGGTCCATTTTTCAAAAGGAAATGCAATAGTTATCTTCCATAACTGATCTTCAGGCCGAGAGCCCCTTGGTCCGATCAGCTGTACATTCTAGAGGAAACAGAATTGATTAACACTCTTGTTGGATTCAGACATTTATCCACTGATTTACCCGATGTTTGCGTTTCTGATTCTTCATATGGATAGCACGATTTACCACTATGTCAATCAGCTCACAACGGGACCGGTCGAAATTACTGAATCAATTTTGTTCAGATGACCTCAGTGACAGTCAGTCCATTTGTATGCTCTGATAGTAACCAAAGGGGAAAAATAATGTCCTTGGTTAACTTCAATCAAGTGCTCACCACCAACTTAGATATTCTGCTTAGAAACTGGCAAACGTTTTCGATTAAACGTGCTAAAGCAAACCTCGAGTGTATAGATGAATGAGTTAACTGAGGAATCTATGCTTGTGACTTTTTAGAGGGAATCAGTCAGAATGAGCGGCCAATATTCTCAACAAAACCTGATGAGCGTCCGTGAGTTGATTGAGAATTAGAATGGGTGCGTTTTGTACAAAGAAACACAATGCACATTTAACGGACGTGTTCTCTAGCATAACGAAATACTTACAAGGTGTCCTCCGGCTAGTCACATGCCCGTTTATTTAAAACAACCCAGGTGAGGTAGGTGGGCAAAAACTTTTCTGTCGCTGAATTCGCAATGTAGAGCAGAAACCCATCGAGAACTGAGTTGCTAAATTAGTGTGCCTGGATGTCAGTGCATGTTCACTTACCCGAAAAAGCAGCAAAATGAGCTGAGGCTATCTCCGAACGACATGTAGGTGTTCCTTCCAGCCATGTCAGTGGGACGCGCTTCGGATTGCAGCTGTGCTAGTTGAGACTGCGTGGGGTTCAGTTTATTTTCTCATGCGACCAGTTTCAATGAGATTTTTGTGACAAAATTCTACGATTCGCACGTAGGTGGGGAACTCCAACCGGATAAAAGTCAACTGCCAAAAGACAGGTAGTACATGCGATCGGATCAAGGGAATAGGTGAGTATAATGAGAGGGAAAAAGCAAAAATAAGAAGCGCATTAGATCTATTTGTGAATTTGATTTTCTTTTTTGATCCGAATAACTTGTAAGTGTACAGCTGATCAACTTCTGGCTATCATTTTATTTCGGTAATCACGTTTTGCACAAAAAATACAATACACGTTAGTGGCATATTTTAAATACAATACAGCCTTCAATTACGTGACTTAAAAAGTCCTATGTTGCATGAGTTTGTGCACTCCTTAACGATTCTCGTGAATATTTTTCCTTCTTTCTTTGCTTTGGGAAGGAATAAGATTCGGTGGATTGGATTCCTCTTGTTTTGGTTAGCAGAAATTTGACAGAGCGTCAACAGAACAAATCTCAGCCTAACTTCAATAGACACTGCAGTCTCTACACCTTTTTCAGTTTAAGATGTCCGAAATCCAAGTTAAGATGTCGCAATATGAATTTAAAATGTTCGAGTATTAAGTTAAGATGTAATGTTGCTATGTTTTTACTCTGTACTGTGCAAGGTACTATCCACATAGCAACATGACATCTTAAACTGATACTCGGATATCTTAAATTAAATCTTAGACATCTTAAACTGAAAAAGGTATAGTATTCTGGTGAAACGGACTGAACCAGATAGCTAATTGCTGTTTGAGTGATAAAGCAAATAATTTCGCGTCTGCAATACGCTTCATCTGTGTTGCCATCAAGTTCCAGAATTGTGGCTCTGAATGTTACAAGTCCACGATAACGAGTGCCGCATATTTGCATGTTCCAGTTTATAGTATGGTCTTTATTCTTGGTTTTACCCAGTTATTCATTAAGGTGCCACATAAACGTCGAAAGACGCGGATTGAAGTTAAGCTTTGAAGAAGGGTGAATTCACAATTTTGTGCAAAACGGACAAACATATTAAAAACATATTCTAGCATAAGAACGACGGGAATGCCAATAATCAAAACATAAACGTTGCATTTATTGTGATACTTGAACAGCACATCAAAATTCGACAATGAAGTAGAACGTTCCAGGAGGTAAAACGTGTTTAAAATGTATCTGACGATAGTGTTTGTATTGCTATCATAATGATTATCCATCGCAACGTGTAATTTCAAGCAAAGCAGAACGATAATTCGATGGTACATAGTTGTAAGTAGTATAGTATCTTTATTTTTTAAAATAATCTCCTTTCATTTGAGCAGATGTGACAACTTCATTGAAACGACTATATCTCATTATACTTGAGAATAAACTGAGCAGATTAATAGCCCTCCAGAATATATATTTTTCTTCCATTTGATACTTATCCTATTTACGGGTAAGTTTTTCATGAATTTGCAAAACACCAGTTGAAACTTCCCGCTTTGATAATAACCCATGAACTCAATTATACAATATTCATTCCTCGCGATAATTAATTCCAGAGTCGCCGGGGTTTTCAACTAAATCATTTGGTTTTCCCAAAATTTACATGGTCTTGAGAAAGATGAAGTCAATTCGGATGAATACGACACAATGTCAGATAAAGTGGGGAAATTTCCAACATCACCAACTAACACTATTTCAGGAAACAACGATGGAACCAGTTCTTGTCTGTTCATTGCTTCGTTCGGTGAAAAATCTCATTAAAAAAGTTGCATATGGTGTTCAACTTTATGTTTTTTTTTCACTGGAGGATACCAGTTGATTGCCACCAGCACTTAAATTGTTCTGAAAGTTAAGAATATTCTTTTTGTTCCACCTTTTTCCACAACTGCTGAGTTTTCACCCAGACAGAGCATGATCTTTTTACGGCAGACAGATAAATCAGTTAAATTTTGAGGGATAAACGCTAATTCACCTCACTAATAGGTATTACTTTAGTCATCATCAATGATTCGGTCGATTCGATTTGAGTAGATCAATACATAAATAGCTCATAAGACATGGAGCGCGTGATTCATCTTTTACATCTTTGCTTCAGGTGTGTAAATATTGATCAACCTAGAAAAGACATTTCTGCCTCTAAAAGCAAGTTTTTGATCTACCATGCACTCGCTGCACCTATTTAAATGCCAGCTGCGGATCGGTTTTTAACTCTTTAATATATTATGGAAGATCGTCGCCAGGCCCGGCCCATATATAACTTGTTTGGATTCGAGACAAAACATTTGCCATCCTCTACGTTGAGTATGACACTTTTTAGTCCCACGGGAACTCCAACTGTTTCCCACGATTGCTTCTGTTTTCGTCTACCACCTCAACTCTTACACGCATATTCAGCCGATAAGATGCATGTAATTCAGCAAGCAAGAATGCATACAAAATTTGAAATTTATCACACACATCGGTCGAGGTATTCCCAACTAGCTTCCCACTGCCATCTTTAATGAACACACAAAACCACAGCGCAATCTTATTCAGGACAAAAACTACCAGGACAAGCAGAATTATGAATAGCGTGTGATGATATTTGATTATAATGCTCTATGAGCTAATTGGTGACCGCAATTAACCGGTCGAACAACTCCGCTCAGAAAGTGCCTCTTGTAGGATTGAAGGTATGAAAAGAGGGTGAGTCGTAGATCCCATATGTCTGTAACCATAACGTCAAAGCAAATCAGTTTTAATTTCAATTAATATAATATTACTTGACTAAACTATATTATTCTTCGTTATATTCTGATTACCTTTTTTTCTTAGGCTTCCTGGATGTGTTCATGGAAACAATCGAAGCAGTAGAAGAAGCACTGAAAACGCTGCACATAGATTCCCACTTCCCGATTGCCTCGTTTACTACACTTCTTGGGTTCTTGTTGATTTTAGGAGTGGAACAAATCACTCTGGACTACTACCATCAACAGGGGCGTTCTCAAGTCAGTCTAACCAGTAAGGAGGGTACTGACTACCAAGGTGTTACTATCCGTCGATTCAGTTCCACTCGTCAATCTATTCGTGATCGTGCTGTCAGTCTGACCGGGGTCGTTGAGGGGGTCGCTGTCGCTCCCAGTACCATGGATCCAGTAGTGGAAACAACTGAGGATAGCAAAACACGGGACACCGAGTTGCATGAGGGCCACAGTCACGTGCATACCAGCACAGTGATCAGTACAAGCTGGATTCGCGTAATGATACTCTTGTTTGCGATCTCATTGCATAGCGTATTTGAAGGCATGGCCCTGGGGCTGACTGGATCGCTCACATCACTGCTGACTTTATTTGCCGCGCTCTCGTTGCACAAATTAATTATCGCAATCAGTATCGGGATTAATTTGGCCACTGAAACGAGTGAATCCAATCAGCAATCAGCGCATCAGCGCCGCAAACTGTTCATCTATCAATCGCTTGCAGTACTGACATTCGCTGGAGCTTCACCGCTTGGTGTATTGATTGGTTGGGCTGTGACCAATCAATCAGAATCTGTGGAATTCCTGTTGACTCAGGCAATTCTACAGGGACTGGCTTGCGGCACTTTCTGTTATGTGGTATTTTGCGAGCTGCTCCCCAAAGAATTGCAAGAAGAGAAGGGAGACAAACCGGGAAAATTTTTCTTTTTAGTCTTGGGATTTGCCCTCGTGGCTTTTGTTATTGCATTTGGACCTAGTGAAAACTAATTGAATGTATTTACACTCGTCTTCCTGGGTTTCACATCGTTTTATTTTTTTGTATCCTCCAACCTCCGCATTTTTATCCAACCTAATTGATTGTCACAACACTAAGAAGCAATGTAGAAATCACTATTTGTAACAGTTTTATACATCGTGAGTTCTGATATGCTCTGTCACGAAATAAACCCAAAGGTTGTAAAACTAAAGCTCCTATCATACTCCATTGGTGCTATGACAAATTATTGTGCCACCGTCGTAAACGTCATGCATTAGAACACCATTTTGGNATTTTGGAAGTCACTACGCATCCCCGTCATATTGCTTCCCCTTAACGATCCCTTTAAATGGTCATATCTCCCTCCGTAAAGCTACAGTGTATAATTGTCCACCGGATGTACGGTTATCGAAATTCTGTTTCTAACAAACATTGTTGCCCCCTCCACGAACATTATTTATGTTGATCAAATATCTGTCTGAATAAAAACTGCTACTTCAATAAAGGAAATCGGGTTGCTGATCCACTTCCAAGTTTCAGTTTAATGAACAGTTAAGAAGTAAGTTTCCAACAGTATCGGAACAGCGGGGTAGTGGATTTTAAATAACTGTACAAATGAGCTATTGTTTATGACAAAATAAGCGGTTGTGCAATACGACCTGGAAACCAGCTGGGTGATTTCTTAAACTCCCCTTTTCGAAAGCACATTATAAAAATAAAATGGTTATCAATACGGATAAGCTATAAATTCAAGGTTCTATTGCACCGTTTTGCGTTGTTTTCTACATTTAATCTGATGCACAATCAAATGAATGTACACTGGATCGGAATTTTTCATGATCAGATTCACTTGATCAATTTGGCGATACATCACAATTCGAATTCCCTCTTTGAAATTTAATCTTCTGATTGTAGCGAAAAGGAAACAGTTGTGAACAGCTAGTGACAATCGTCTTCAAAAGTACCGTTGGTAATGATAAACGAGTTTTGAGAACTCGTGGAAGATTTGATGATCAGTTTTACAGCGATTTCAAGTCCATGGAACGAGCTGTAGGAGCTTCTGAGAAAAAGCAGTTGGACCGTTTTCAACTGGATGAACGATTGTTTCATGGTGAATAGAACAATAACGCTAGTTTGGAGAACTTGTTGAACCTAAATGTTCAAATTGGTTTAGACAACGGTTCTCAAAAGGCGTTATTTCTGTCATCTTATTTTAAAACTTCAATGGTTCCTCGTGACTCAGTATTATTTTGCGTGATAAAGACAGTTGGAACGATGATTTTAACAGTAATTCTTGCCGGTTGATATAATTTGTGTGAGGTTGTTCCCCGTAACGTTTGAAATCCATAACAACAAGGGTAGTTTTCTGGTGCTTTTGTGACATAAAGGTTACAAATACATATTTAATAAATAGCATAAATAGCAGCATACAGGTGTGTACCTAGGTTTGCAGTGTTCATCAAGGTCGAAATAATTTAGAATGAATGACCATGAGGAGAACTATACGCAGTTTTCTATCACTAGTTACCAGATGTTCACTGATGTTTACATTCTGGTAGAGACTGAATACATTTTGAAACATTTGCCACGATGGTAACCGTTAAGGTCACGCACATTGTGAAAGGTAATTTTAATGATAACGTTATGTTGTGCAGTGCTTTGTTGTTCTTGTTGCTGCTACCGCTTGAACCTGAAAATTTACACTATCAGAATGGAACGCAAAAGCCTCGGGTTTTCTATGTACGGCGCAGATAAATAGATTGCTCCGACACCGGATGGGCTGGTGCAATAAGCAACAGTTTTTCTTTGCCCAATACGCGGCAGTCATTCACTAAGTTTCGTTGTAAGCAAGTGTTCCATTTACTGTGAACTGTGTCGGTTGCCAACTATAGGTGTCGCAAGATATAAAAGGCAATTATGAGCTCAACAATAAATGGAAGCTACATGTAAATTCACATCAGTCAAACACTTTGGGAACTGTAACGGAATCTTTTGATTTTAAAGATTGTTACAACAAAGAGAAGGTAAATACTGAGAGATATTAACATTTCTTTAAAATTCGCTAGTTACTAGAACGTAAAACAATCTGATACTCATACAAGAAAACTTTTATAACTGCAGTTTTCCAAACAACAACAGCTAATTAACAAATCTATTGAGAACAATATACCGAATGCCTGAAATGAAAATCTGCTTTGGTGGAACGTTTTCAGCTGGAGTTGCCAAATATTTGAGCGTTTTCATGCGTTGCCATCATCTATCAAACTGACCGAGCTATTTAAAAGATGACACCCAAAAAGCCGTGAATCAGTGGTTCTGATCATTTCCGATATGAGCTGACGGATAAAGTCACTTGGATCGACCAGGGGATATAATCCGCTGATGAGCTGTTTGAGGATGAAATTTGTGCTGCATGAGGTTGTATTTCAGTGAACGAACTAAGGAATGTATATGAATATACCATATGAAGGATGGTCGGGCAACAATCAGTAATAGCTTCTCTCGCATTATTACTTACAAGTAATCGTGATTCAAAATGAAAATCTACGCGGTGGATTTTGCCGATTAAACTGTCGTGGAATCATTAAACAGGAACAATTTTGTGGTGTTTTCGCATCTATGAGCAAAGACTGAAATGCTTTGTCAGACGAGCTACTATCTGGTATTATGACTATCAAAGTAGCTCTTATTATTCAGCAGAGCAACACACTATCGTAGGGCTTTGCTGAGTCACTAAATTCTTCAGTCACGGCCCTTATTTTAAATTACAGATGGTCTGTATGAGACCTCATTTAAAAAGTCACTCAACATTAAAACTTTTCAAACAACGACCATAAGGGTAGTTGTTGAGATACGGAATGAAAACGACTCTAACAGAACTGGTAAATGAAATGACTTATAAGAAACTAGAAAAATAATTCTGACTTGAGAAGAAATGATAATAAGAACAATGCTGTTGGCTCGCTGGCATATCCGTCAACCCTTCCAAGCAAACAGTTGCAGAGTCTTTCGGACCGCAACCTGGAGGGCAAGAGACACTTGCCCTACGTAACAGCTCTGTGCATCTCTACATGCTTAGTCTCCACGTCATCTGTTGACCACCACGAGGTTCCCCTTAGCTCAGATCGGCTACTGCGAATAAAGCGCTTTGCGACAGACGACAGTTGGGTATACGTAATACGTGTCCTAGCCACTGAAGCTAGAGTCGTATTCGCCAGGTTCTTATCATCGATTTGTATATAGTCTCGTCATTATTTTGCAAATTTGTTCTAATTTTGCTAATTTCAACAAAATATCACTGTTCTTGTTCTTATGCACATGAAGCATACGATGCTCATTTCTTGGAGGGGTATTTCGTCAAAGAGATGGATTCTCCATGGGCAGATTCCTGGGAAAATTCCAGAATATATTTTTCTAGGACAACCAGAAAAAGGCTAGTAGGGGACTTTTCAAAACTAGACCTTCATTGCTGCTATGATATCTTCATTATGAGCAAGATAAAGGAAGGAGCGGAAACACTATTCCAACGACTCAAAGGGTTGTGCTTAAAAACCAGTTACCACATCACAGAGAAATAGGTGACCACCTTGAGATTTTGGATGTAAGAATCACTTACCATATAAAGACGGGGTGGGAATAAGGGAGAAATTTCTATGCAAATTTTAGTTCACACAGTTTTCCATCAAAGATACTTCTGATAGTAGCCATTGAGCTGAAAGGAATCTTGAAATCTCTCTTAATGAGACTGACAGAAGCCATAGATGAATCATAAAGAAGAAAATGGAAAACATTAAACGAAATGTTGTAAAATATATTGCATGACATTAAATTGGTTCTGAAAGGATAGCACTTGAAGTTTGTTTGTATAGTTTTGCACATGAAAAGCGAACCTTAAATTTGTGTCAGTGGTTACTCCTAAATATTTAACAAAATCTATCCTGGTTAGACCTCCGGGGATTATGAGAGAGCGGTCTCACGGATAGAACAACATGTAAAAGATAAAATGCACTAGGATCACTTACGTAAACTGTGAGTCAATGCGAGTCGAACGGAGAATTAATGAATATATGAGTGATTACTGGAGACATTTTGAAAGTCCTCAGACACAAGCTTAGCAGAGGGATACACAGTCAGCAAATTTCAATAAATGGGAGAGTGAGCCCATTGCAGGTCAGTGATATGGGTGGAAGGAGCACCCTCGAATTATTCAGGAGTTACCTAAACGCTTGACTATTCACTCAAGTTAGCTGATTTCTGTTTGTCAAGTACTCAGAATGTGGTTCATCCCGATACGATATCAAATCTCTCTCGTTCGCATACTACTTCATAGAGCTCATTAAGTATACAAAGGTGTCTCCTTAAATGATGGAAATGAGCTCTCCAAAAGGTAATTGACAAAAATTTGTGTTCGGTTGTGTTCATCAGCAGAATTTCTTAAGCAACACTCAAACCGAAGAAACCACTAATTTATCTAATTTACCCTTCCCAAGGTTGTTATACAAAGGCATCCGCCCAATAGGTTGTGCATGGTTAAACTCTTAAGTCCAGCAGTCTACCTGTTTGATGTTCTCTCTATCACTCGGATACCAATGATATCGGTGTAAGAACCATCAGAAATCATTAAGATAATGATCCAGTTAGGCTACTGAATAACCAAACACATCCAGGGATGATTGGGCAAAGCGATGAACTGCAAAAATATGAAACTGATACCTCGTCGAATGCATCAGATGACTCAGATATTCAATAACCTAACATTTGCATGAAAACAAACACGGTGATTTGGAAAATCACTCGTTGCAGTTCATTCAAAACGCAACAAACACCAATTAACTTAAATATACGCAGGCTGAGACAACAACTTGAATGACTGACCACCTTAGGATTTTGTGATTGGCTTTAAACACTTTGTCTTCCCGTGTTTTTTGTTATCCGTGTTTTATTCCTAACTTTGAATTAGGCTCAAGTCCGCAGTACTAACTTGTACAAATGAAGCAAAATAATCGTGGGTATGGTGCGTAAGCCTGTGTTATACTTTCTAATAACGCCAATAATCTCAATATTAATGATATTGCGACATCAACAGCTCACAGAACATTACAATATGTTACTACTAGTCTGTTCATATATTGTTTATTTTTTAAACATAATATTCAGTTTTATAAAACCCGAATAATCTTTCCGTACTTTAAGTTCATTGCGAATCGATAGCAGAATAACGAAACTATGGTTACGAAGGCCCTGGCCAATCAACATCTAGAATCAAGCCATGGTACGTGCTTCTATGCGAAGTGCGCAGGCAAATATATTACGCGTCATTGATCTGTTGCTAGTCGGAGTTTATCTTAATCGTGTATATGCGGCAATCACAACCAAATTGATATTTACAGTAGTATAAAATAAGTACTGGATTCCAATTTTTACAAAGCACAAAAGAAGTGAAAATATGACCTGTGGATCCTTGCGACTGTATATTGAAAACGATGATCCGGATTATCCAGGAATGAAAAAACTGAAACTTCAGGGGAAAGACCTGGAAGTTGTGCCCGAAGAACTTTTCATGCTGAAAGACCTCGAAGTATTGTACATGAGCCCAGAAAGGCAACCTTCACTCAGTTTCAAAATGTCAGAGCTCCCTCCAGACATTGGTACGTTTACTGAACAGTACAGACGACTGTACACAACAGAGCTTTGTTGGGTATCATCAATTCACAATCGTTTGAAGGTTTCATACTTTTATGTTGAGCTCATTGGCTATAGCATTCGAACATCAAGATTCAAAACTTGGGCATAATACTAGGCATATTTTTATTCGAAATTTCTGTCGCAATACTGTGCCAGGTCACTGCCTTCCAGATAAGGTTGAAATTTTCTTGGTTTATCAATGTCTATATCACGTGAATTATTTTTCATCCCAGCTTTAGATGAACTGTTACTGATATGAGTCAAAATGTATTTCCGCTAAATGCAGTGGTAGACTTTTTCAATAAAATGCATACAAAATAGTACGGACATTTCTCAGGTTAGGTTCATGATAATAGGACGCAACTCAACTGGTTGCATGGTTGGTTCAACTGAGGTCAATGTTTAAAATGCGTTTCTATCCTGCTTTAGTGCAGAGTACCCTAATTGCAATGTCATAAGCTCAACTGGAACGTCTCCCAGTTCCCTTGCTGGTCTCTCAGATCTAAATTAGTTCATATTACAAATTCTTCGTGAGGTGATGGTGGTATGAGCCTCATAAACAGCAGATTTTTAATGAATAATCCAAGCGATTATTGTGTACGTCCAAGGGTGACGGTCGCCTTCATTTTCTAACATGGTTCATCGGTTTTTTATACAGTCCTTTCAGATAGCTGAAACACCATTTTATTTCAATGGCATTCAGACTGGCATCCTCATCACTATTTTAGCTTAGTATTTATTGATATGCGAACACTTTTCTGCTGTCAGCATTGGTTGGGATGTAATGAAATGGTTCGGGGAGTACCAGCAGCAATTGCACTTTTCTCTGTTATCTGTTTAGTGTGCGTAGTAGTTTGTCAAAAAGACAGTAAAGTGCTTGAAATCCATTTAGCAAAACTAATGATGCACTCAGAACACAATAAGCGGGCGGTTTGAAATGAGATAGAGTGAAGCAAGAGCTATCTGAATGCCTTCACAATTATGCACACTTCTTAAAGTAATATTAGGAATATTTAGTAGCAAAACCTCTCCTCTTATCTATAGAACATTTTATAGGCTTGACTTAAGGAGGACATTTGACCATTCCCTATATATCATCTCAGGTGTTCTAGTGAATCTACGAGTGTTGCTACTGGATACGAACGAACTGAGCTATCTACCAGAAGAGCTCGGGAACCTGCGATATTTGGAAAAGTTATCCGTCTCGAACAACCGTTTGCGACAACTGCCTAAACGTTTATCTGAATTGAAACGACTTCGTACTCTCCATTTGGCCAATAATTTGGTAAGTCTTTAGGCTGATAAATAATTTGTGGCACGTGTTATGGTGTGGTGTGCATTTTCTTTAAAATTCATGCTTTCATAAACGTACATTCATCGTTATGGTTAACAAAAAATGTGAAAAATTTCAAGGAATAAAAGTCATCATCAACGGCATAATTTACTGGGTGTAGAAAAAGGCGTTTTCTACTGATGGTTGAAGGAATATAATAAATCATAATTGTACTAGTAACCATTTAGTAATGATGGATCTTGTGTAAAGAGTGAAATACTACCGCGGAAATATTTCGATGTCTTCGGTGCTAATCACATTTGTGATTACTATGTTTAGTGTGCGCAAAGGGACGTGATTGGTGGGCTTTAACAACGGTCGAAAATGAACGTAAGCGAAGAGGTGTGTTCACAGGTGTAACTAAAGAAAACCAACACCTACCGTCGGACTGTTCTATCAATTATCCCGAGTGCTTGTCGGAAGCATGATGACCTTTTCCAAATGAGCCTTTCTGCTCCATGTAATCCAATTTATTCATACACGTAATAAACGTAATTGCAAACTTGCCTCGACCCAATGCCAGTCTTTTGGAATTATATCACCAGGTAAGAACGAACACTAAATCAAGCTTTAGAAAACTGTGGCCTGAATACACGATAGTCGATAATGATTCAGTGGATGAGCGAATGCAATCCACAGGTTCTCATCGATTAGGCGACTCATTAGTATCACTGGTGCGGATCACAAACGGTTAATTCCACCTGGGGCGACGAAAAAATGGTTCAGTGTTTTTCTTCCGGAAGATCCAGGTTCTCTTCTGCTCTAGAAGTGGCTTGATTGTTTATCCAACACCATGGGGTACCCCAGACCATTTAGGGTAAAACTTATCTCACATTAATAGCTACAAAATCGAGGAATCCCCTCCATCATGCATTGCCAGTATAATTATTCCATCGGTATATGTCTGTCTTTGGGATCTCTTTATACCTACAACTCGGAGCTGAATTTTTGCTTTGGCACTTTTTGACATTGATCCCTTGTACTGGCGTAAGTGACATCTGTGCATCCCCCAATCGATGCGCATCTTTGAATTTCCTTCGATCGATGAATCGTTACTAACTGTGGTACATTCGCACAACAGATTTGTAAAACTTTTCCTAATGTTCTCTCTGAACTGAGAAAGCCATATTCCTTTTTTGAAGGTTGATGAAATAACCCAGTTATTTCATCGTAGACATAGAGATAACTCTCTCCGTGGTCTTCGCTTTTCACATAAGCCTAACCAATACCAGATAGACAATTGCATACATCAAATATATACATATATATACATATATATATATACATATATATATATATACATATATACATATACATATATATATATATATATATAATATACTCAACTCGTAACCAGTTACATAGAATCGATAAACATGTCTCAACATATGATTGGAGGTATGTGAAGACGGCGCAAATACAAAGCAAAGTATAAGAGTCTCGCAACAGTTGTCATTGACGCCGGCTACCAGTCAAACTGGATAGTGTCTCAAGTCATAGGTTCTGCTGTACTTGGGACCTCAACTTGGAAGCCTAGAGCATCCTACCACTGTCAGTTTTGAGGTTAACTCCTTCATCGTTCTAGCCCAGATTGTTTGTTTTTCAACTCGTTGACGCTTTCAATTAGTTTCAGCTTTCCCAAACATAAAATGACGGGGCAGTCGTTGAGCCAGCATTCACAATACCTGTCTCTGGAGTGATACAACGGCACTCAGAGGACGACTAAGATTGTCTGAAGGGAAGATTCTTCAGCCAACCTCATCGTTGGTAATTCGCTGCTGCTAACCTATTCTGGCAGTAAAAGGAAGGTAACGGTGGTGGTCAAAGGCACTTCAACTCCTCACGTATTCTGCTTCAGTGGATCGGCTTTGCAGCAGCCATAGAATAAGATCAAAATTATTGTGGCACTGTGTACACAGCTTTCCAAGAAGAGGGTGAGATCGCGTCCGGTGGCCGAGTGGGTAGCATGCTTGCGTTCTACCTGTGAGGTCCCGGGTTCGATCCCCAGTTGGGTCGATGGATCGCACTGCTGATGTGACCCAACCAGATCAAAACAGTTATCCAGTGCATCCAAGCTCTTCAGTTCACACTTTTTTGGCATATACGTGACGAATTCACCCTTGAAAGAAATGAACTCAGTTCATTGATTGGTTTTACACTTTCCTCTGTCAATAGGTTAATACTAAGTTTTCGATCGCGTAATGTTATTTTGTGTGTTGTAAGTAAGTGCAATTTTAATTCCGGTGCAATCGACCCAATGATCTCATGTATCAGCAGTGCCAGGCAAGTAATGTCTTATTTCCTATGTCTTGTTGGAATATAGTCCAATACAGACTGTTTGACCATTGCTCGCTTAGGCGCAAATCCATCGGTATTGTGCACTCTGAGTTTGAACAGTCGAAATTCATGTATTTCGACATATTTACTTCATATGGTGCGGATTGATCCGTCCATAAAGACAAACGCACATCGTGATCAAATGCCTAACTGTTGTGTGTTGATAAGCTACAGTTAATCCCACTGAGCATCGAGTGGTTGGTCTTTAAATGATAGTTCGAATGGACTAATAACGTCAAGTTTTATAAATATCGCTTTTCTAAAATCCCGGTAGTGAAACTGAAATCTCAAGAACTAATGTTGGCTTGAAAGATAGTCACTTAGAAACCAGTGGTGCTTGTCCAGTTTACTGCATAATTACCTTGATGCCAACTGGACCAATAAGAATAATCACTTTTCCCACCTTGTGACCAAAACTTAATCAACTGGACAGTATATGTTGATGGGTGAGCCGATTTAAGTTTTAGGAATCCGTAGATACATGGCTATAACAGACCACCATATCCGGCGTCCCCCATCAAGTCGTGATCCAGTAGCTGTTTTAGGGAAGTGGCTAAATAGATTCTCTCAGTAGCCATGGACGGAACAGACAACTGTAGCGATGTGTGAAAGTCACAATAACCAAAGGCAAGGGCACAACGCAGATGAACGGCCACTTTTAACCACATTTATCCGAGTTAGAATAAAAGCCTGCACAGTAAATATAGATAACACATATAATTTATTGCTTAATTCGTTCGAAAAATAGAGAGGACTTGATTTTCATGAAAACGCTTGAGGGAGTCATCAAGTAATCCGAGTTTTTCACAAGTCATCACGACAACAAGCCCGGTGATATTCTCTCCATTGATCAAAAGACACAAGTTAGCAATGAACAGAAAATATGAGATTATTAAAGCGACATTGCACTCTAACTAAAGCGTAAGTACGCCCATTACATTTTTATATGCACTCGAATAAACCTTCCCCCAGATACGTTGATCAATACAAGTTTTTATCCTTCCGAATGAACTGATGCATATTTGAACAAAGTTGAAACTGACTTTTATTCCCGTGAATAGGTGATTTAGTTGAGCATGTGTTTCTTTTGCATTGAATTCACTTTCTTCATTATTAAAATCATGAATATGTCTTACCGTAATCCGATTTTGTTCCGAGTAGCCATCGTTGTTGGAGCATTCCTCTAGCACCCATCTATTAGGTTCGTGTGTGGTCAGTGAGACTGTGATATGTCTAAATTTGGTTTACCTGAGTTCTTTTATCATGTACCAAATTCTGTTCCTGATTTAGGAGGCCAAATAAACTCATCTGAATACCCGAAGAAATCAAAATAGATGGTTAGCGCTTCCTGGATGTTGGAGAGCCTGTAATTAAGTGATGTAAGCCGTCATCACATCACCGTTCAAGATGTGCTCAACCCTCTGCATCATCGCCTAAATTCTCTACTTTTATCGCTTATTAAGCTTCGTCAGCTCTTTTCTGTCAATAAACCATATAAATGCTGATTACATGGAAAGAAAATAAACAATTTATTTCTTGAATAGTGTGAACTTTATGGATTTAAGAAGCACTAATAATCTGACCGAACGTCGCACGTTTTCAAAATCAATCTAAGTTGAAAATCGATAGAGATGAAACCGGAACTTATGAAGCCTTTCGATTTCAATTCAACGTTCATTATGATCATTTGCGTTTAAATGATTCAAGTCAAGTCAAGTCAGTAGTAGCTTTATGCACCCGGATGGGTGTATTTTCAGCAATGACACCGTATTTGTGGATTCAAATTTACAAAATCATTACATAATGAAACTGGAAGCAATGAGGTGTTTGTCAATGAAGTAGGTGGTTGAGCAATTCTGTGGAAATTTTGTCCTTGTCTATAAGCAGACGTGCTAGATATGGCAGAACAGAATTACGATAAGCAGTGGTTCGTGCAAATAAAAGTTTATATCTTGAGCGTGTGGATGATGTAGATACAGCTTTTGAAAATTCATTGTGTAATGGGTGGTGAGTGTCTGAGAGTATTTTGGCGGTGAAACGTTCACATGCTTGTCGGCGTCTGTCCCTGATAGAATCGGCGAGTTTATCC